TATTGATGAACAAAAGTAAAGGTAAACAGGAAAAGAAAATGCTTTTACTCATATTTCAGGGCAATTTCAGGTAAAAGGTAAAATGAAATTTTGATCTTTTTTTTCTACTTTCATAATCACATTGATAATATTCATTATTTGACCAAAAATTTCAAAACAAAATGAAGAGTAAAATTGGGTGCATTGTAATGATGAAATTCAACTCAATTTTGCATGAAAATAATTAAAATGGAAAATTTCATCAACTCGAAATTATCTCATTAAAGTGCTCATGATGATTCCATTGAGATTAATTTTTCGATGTTTTCAACTCAATTTGAAAATGAACAATTCCAAGTAAAAGTTTTTCTCTTGTTGAACAATTTGCAAAACCTTTTCTATTCAGTTCAATGTATTAATTGGATGAAAAGAGATGAAAAAAAAGTTTTTCTGTTTACACTTTTCGTTACCTTTTAAACTTGAAACTCATTTCTTGCCAGTGAAAAGCATAGTCGAACAGAAATGCTCATTCAGATAATGAATTTTGTTCTCATGGAGTAAACCAATTGAATAATTGAAAACTATCCAGATGCTGGTAAAGTTGGTGAATAAGGTTTGATAGGGAGCAAAGAGGAAAGTAAAAAAAGAGAAACAAAAGAAAATTATACTTTATCATGTTGAATAAATAATGATTGTCTGAAGAGATCAAGACTTGAAATTTGCAATTCAAGTCCAAAATAAATTGATTGAATAAATAGAGAAAGTTTGAAACAAAGTTAATCATTTGAGCAAATAAAACGATGAGACAAATGACCCGTTTTTGAACGAAACTACGAAGTTTACATATTCATTGTAAACTCGTTCAAATCGAGCCAAAGTTGTCGTTTCTTTTAGTTTTCAATTTCACATAAACTCATTTTCTCCATGAATTTGATTCGATAATTAACGCACATTTTATCAACCTCACTACAGGAAAACAAAACTTTTCAAAGTTGACAATCAGCTAATTTCTTGCTTAGAACGCAACTTTGAAAGGAATAAGAACATTTTTTGAACGTTGCCGTACGTTTGTTCCAATGGTAGAAGCATAAACTTTATGGTAATATTAGTAGCCTAGAAAAACACTTTTTAATGGTCTCAGTTTTATGCCCCTACAAACCTACAAAGTTAACCTAGAAATTTGTTCATTCGAGGCATTCGATTGAAAAGTTTTCTATGCACATTTTTCTCACTAGAATTTAGAATCATAGCTTGAAGAAAAGAATATCGATATCAGCTGTTGAAATAAGTCTTTATGTTTATATTACAGTATTGAACTATTCTTGTGTCTACGACCATACCAGACTGAAAACACCGGATCCCGTCCGATCTCCGAAGTTAAGCAGTTTCGGGCCGGGTTAGTACTTGGGAGGGAGACCACTTGGGAACCCCCGGTGTTGTAGACTTTTTTGTTTCATTTCATTATCAAGAACCAAATACTTGATACCTGAGAAATTCAGAATGAAGAAAACCAAGGCACATTCATAACCGTCGATCAAACTCGGAGGAGAAAATTTTTTTTCAAGAAATTGGTTTCGTTAATAACACCATGAGCGAAATTTGATGGAACTAAAAAAACACACTAATGGCAATGAATAGTTTCTTTTTGCACACCATATGGGTTAAGTTTCGATACGTTTCAGCTGCCAACTGATGACATATTTATTTCATTCGTGGAACCAGTGTCTGATCGTTTAATATGTGACCATCGCGTTCTGTTCGCTTCTATTATATACTACTGAGCAATTTAAAATAGCTCCCAAGTACAGTAGTAATTCAGATACATAAGACAGTCCACTTTCGATTATCGCTAGTTGCTCTTTAATTTCCACACAGATGTTTGAGAGTTGTGTTTTGTGAACTTTCTGTCAATTCAGGTTAGTGGGTTCCTGGTTTCTGTATACCAAGTATTTCAAAAGTTGTATGTGATTTTCATTCACTCGTGATAATCCGAACGTCGGCACTTTTCTAGTGTAATTTCTATCCGTCCGTGTTCTCCTTTGAAAAATAAACCTCGAGGCTTCCTCACTCGTTCTCTCACCGTTTAAAATGACATGACACACAATTGAATGATAATTTTTACATTTAAGAAAAGAAGTTATAGTTGTTTTTGATGATTATTTCTTACAATATGACAAGATATTACTGAAAAAAGGAACCGTCAGGAGTGCTAGATCGAGATTGGTGATATTTAATGGTGACTATCGGTGCATTAAACCTTTTTGAACACTAATATAACGAAATTAGCTGTCGATTTCGGCATTTTATCGCCTTTTTTTCTAAAAAAGTTGTGTGCTTTTCTATGGGGATTTGTATTTGTTTTATAAAACGCATCTATAATAATAAATGCTGTGCAATAAAAAGTACATGTTTTTGTTTCGACATTTCAAAAATTAAAAAGTGAACTTTAAAAATCCCCACAAGATTTATTTTAGAAAAAATCGAGAACAGGCGATTTTGCAGATCCTTTAGTGGGGATGGGTTGACTCACTTTGGCACTAGAGATTTCAGGCCATTCGAGAAACTGCTAACGATATGAAAAAAGCTGCTGTTAATTTATAGCCAGGAGTTCAAAGATTATTTCGACCAATTAATAGACCTAACTAATAACTGTATTCGTAAGGCATTTCAGTACACTATCATGTTTATTTTGCGACGAAATCTTTAGAGCACAATCGTGACCAAACGTGATGCTGAAAGAAAATTTTGATTATAACCGTTTCGGTAACAGCGTGATTTAATGAAGTTTGTCATAAAATTAAGTTTATTCAATTGTACCTTCTAATAATTAACTTTCTAAATCCCATTTTTACAGTCCTCTAAATCATTTTTTGTCAATATTTTCCATAATCAGTTTATCATTCAATGTAAACATTTTTGTTGCTTCTCTCATGTTCGATCCCAGTTTTTTCCACTTTATTGCCATCAAAAGTTCAGTCAGGAAGGAAAATGTCTTTTTTTCATTTTTTCTTCTTTTACAGCCTTTTTATCTATCGCGTTAATCTCATTGATGTAAACTTGATCAACTTTCAATCACTGTTTTTTGTGCCAACATTTCAATCTGTTCATTTTAAGGGATAACTCATCAACTTGAAAAGGTTAACCTTTTACTCAGTACTTTTGACTTTTCATCCGCTCTATTCATATGCCAGCTCCACCAAATAGACTAAATTTATTGATAAATTTGGTCTTTTTGCCTCAGACAAGAAAAAAGAAAGCTTAAAGGACGAACAAAAAAAATCAAACTCGAGAATTGATTTGCAGAAAGAAAATGATGGCGAATAAAAATGTGATAAAATGTTCATCAATTTGATTGATTATCAACAAGGTTAACGATATTACATGAAGATATGAAAGAAGATGAATATGATTGCATAAACAATTTATTTGATTGAATTTAGTTGTACTCTCCAATATTAATCAATTGTCTTTTCACATCAATCTTGATGAGATTTTTAAATGCATCCATTTGTGGCTCAACAGTTTGACTCCATACATCGAATCATTTCCACAGCAAAATCCAAAAACAAAAGTTGATTAACATTTTCAAACCTTCGACCAACAAAGAGCGAAAATCACACAAAAATATTATCTTCAAGAAATGTCTTTCTCTAAGAGACAGAACTCGATATCTTTCGACTCGTAATTAAGGATCATTTAGAATACGCTCGTCAATTAAAGCCTCTTTCACTCAAGATGATCACTTTTAGCAAAGCCTTTACTTGTCTTGTTACATCTTGAACAAAGTCGAGTTTCATTGTCATTTGTCTGGTAAATTGGCAGTCCAATTGCCAGTGGATTTGTGAAAAAAGCAAAGTTTTTACTGTCATAAAGGATCAAAAAAGGTAATAAAAAGGTAAATGTAAAAGGCTCATTTCAATGTGATCCGATTATTATCAAGAGAAAACAATAATTCTCATTTTGATTCAGTTTTGAATGGATTTTCCTTTTCAGTTGACATTACTGTGAACACCAACTGCAATTATGCATATCAAATGATCATTTACCTTGGCGAAGCAGAATAAACAAAGATGACAAAAAAGCAAGAGATTTTCATGATTCTTGATATTTAAATGAGAGGCAACAACCAAATTTTTGAAATTGAAATGAAAATATTTGTAAGTTAATATCATCAAATGAATGAATAATAGAGAATGAATCTGAAAACTCTAAAGAATTTAGAGAAAATGAACGAAAAAAAAGGCTGACAATATTCAAGGTAAATGTTGATATGGAAGGGAATAAAGTAAACTTTGAGATTAAACATTCTCATCTGAATCATCAAAAAAAGCTGACAATGAGTTGATAAGAGAAGAAGAAGAAGATTTTTTTATCATTTTCGATGAAAAACTTTTTCTCCTCTGATTACACTTGCATGGAAATTGCAAATGAATTAGAAATGAAGGCGAAAAGAAAAGGTGAAACTGGCTGATTGTACGATTTGATTAGTAAAGGAGAAACATTGAAACTCAAGTCATGAATAATGAAGGATAAAGTTTATCAAAAACTAAATGTCAATAAAAGCAACAAGAGTAATCAGAGCATCTCATGATTCATGAATCTATTTTTAATATCATCAGCAAATGAAACAGAAGAAAGTAAACCATTTTTCCAACATTTACTTCATTAGTTATTGATAAACAATAATTTGTTTAAATGAGCTCAATCAAAGTCTAAAAAGTTGCAACAAATGTTTCTTCCAAAACAGTTTATCAAACTTTTAAAATGTAATTAAAATTTAAATTTTGCATTAAAAGCGCAACTTGGAAATGTCAAAGTTTTGGTAAAAGTCGAAAAAAAGACAACTTCGTTTGCAAAGTTTTCTGTCGAGTTTTGAGCAAATTAAAAGACTTGAGCTTGTTGTTACATGAAAACATTCATCAAAATGAGTAAATGAAGAGAAGAGAAGAGAAATAAAGTTTCCCTGTTGAGCCTCAACTCTATCTCGACTTGAAGTATATTCATGTTGAAATGTTCAATTCACTTTGAATCAACAGTAAAAATGTCAGGTTGAGTGGTAAAGGAAACTTATGGATTAAGTTTGCAACAAAAGTTGAACGAAAAAAAATGAATGCGAAAATGAATTATTCGTTAACATGATTCATTCATAGTTTTTACCTTTTTTTACTCCAAGTGAATGAAGTAAAAAAGTTAAGTCGATAGTGAGCAAAAGACGAGAACGCAAGATCACTGGAAGATCGAGAAAATGAAGAATGAGTGAGTAAGGCGAAGAAAAAAAAATCATCTCAACTTATTTTCATTTACAGTTTGAAACTTGTTACTTTGCACAAACACAAATGCCTTACAGTTTTATATCATTTTATTGCCTCCAACATCTCAACATGTGTTTCACTTGGGCTTGACTTTTCATCCAATCATCATTTGTCTTTATTTTGGTTCATTTTCATTTTTCTCCATTTCTTTACTAGTCTTGTGATTTGGTCGAGATAAGCTTTTCCGTCTCTCAATATATCCTCATCAATCGTCAACCCAATAAAAGTGTAAAGACAAGTGAACAAATAGTTTTGTGTGTTTCTACAGAAACTGAGAGAAGAAGAAGAGAAAGATCGAGAGTTCAGCTTTTCATTTGTCATCAGATCTTTTTGTTTTCCTCACAATTCCATCATCTGAGTTTACTCTTCACTTTGCTCACTCCAAACGTCTCTCTGTTTTTTCCTGTGAGTATCTTGATTGTGACCAGTTTGGTGAGAAGCAAGTCAACATCAACAACAATTTTCATCATCATGTAACCATTGATTGGTGATTAGTGATAATAAAAAAAGGATTTACTCGATACTAGACCAAAATGGGTTAAACGCTTTTTTACTCGCAACCTTTTTTTTCTCAAGACTTTTACACCTTTTGTTGAGCATGCTTTTATTTACCTCATTTCCATGTGAAAAGTTATCCAGGTAAACGCTTTTATCGGTGATTCACTTTTACTGTGCCTATTGGAAAAGGAGAAATTCTGTGATAAATTCATTTTCTTTTGCACATTCAAAGTTTTTTTAGTTTTTTTTAAATTCTTGTTATGTTTCACTTGACGGTGGAAAACGTTGAAAAGTGTATTGCCATTTAGTAAAAAGGAACGTTACATTTTAGTTTTTTTTTTCGTGGTTTTCTTTTGCGCTTTTCCTCTCTAATCATTGATTATTATGATTAGTAAATCTTCAATATCTTCTTTACCATCCTGTGAATCGTCAACATTTTCTTCTCCCTCTTCTTCTTCTTCGTCAACATCTTCTCTACCCACATTAACCAGTATCCAATGTAAACCTTCAGGTTCAGAATTGATTATTTACTCTTCAACCTATCCAACAGCCTTACCAAGTAAAGAAGATTCAAAGGATAAAAGGATTAGTCAATCGTCTAATGAAGAGGCAAGGATTGGGTTAGCCAAGCGACCAAACAAATTGCCTTGTGATTCAACGGTAATCACTTGTTCAAATGGTGGTGAAGAGTGTAAAGAGAATGGCAATAAAAATGATTACGAGTCAAACGATGAGAGCAATGGGGCCAATGAGGGTGGTGATGAGAATGATGGGGATGAAGAAGAGGATCCAAGTGAAGGGTTTAGTGATGAAGCCAAGGAAAACAGTGGTAAACAGTGCAAGGTAAAGTGCGATGGTAACAGTTGTGCATCTGGTGAGGGTAAAGAGTCGAGTAAAAAGGGAATCAATGGGATCATGAAGAGTGCAACCTCACCGGTTGAGAGAAAGAAGCGAGCTCGAGTCGAGTTTAGCAACATAGTCAATGAACGTCGAGCTTCCAACATAACCTACTCGAATCAAAATGATTTCAACCAACACCTCAATCATCCACGTCATCATTACCGTGAATCTCGCCTAAGTGTTCTTATAACAAGTTCAGCATCAACAGTCAACATGGGTAACCTTTCCTCTGGCCATGGTCGCTCCTCACGACGCTACCATTCCCATGCAGATTTAAACTCTACCCAAGGTTCAGGTTTGAATGATGATGAGGGTAGACGTGGAAGTGATTTAATGAGACTCTTTACCAGACGCCGATCCAGGTCACCAACCTCACTGTCGGCCGCCTCTTGCCGTAGATTGCAACAACCTCGACTCAGTCTTCTTGGTAAACCGATAGTTCCTCGATCGATAAAACAGCGAGACCCAAGGTACAGACGAACCCAAATACTGATTCACAATTTGCTGGAAAGACCTCGAGGCAAACTAGCTGTCATCTATCATTTATTACAGTAAGTTTACCCAAAGCCTCATCAAGACTAGGCAACAGAACAAAAAAGTGTCTCAAATTGATGAATGAAGTTGAGATAGTTTGCCCATTAAACTTGCTCATTGTGGTTATTTTTTTACACTTTATATTAACTGCTTCCTTTTACCCATCACAGTGTTAGCATTAAATCAAGGCAATCTCTTTTGGGAAATCTTTCCTTCTCTTCCTCTTCCAACTTGTTCCATTTTCTTTCAAGATAAATACTCATCATCATCCATGCTATAAACGAAAATGATGAAAGTTCAACTTTCCAAGAATCAAAGAGAACAACTTTTTGACCATTTTATCAAATCAAAGTTTTCCAAAGTTTACACATTTGAAGGCAATTTTGTGGAAAAAAATCACTGTCACCAACTCATATTTTCCATTCAAATCTGATCATGATTGCCTCAAAATGGTTATCTCAAAGGCTATCTCAAGAACTTATCTCAAGAGCCATGAAATCGAATGTCGTGAGAAAAGATTGAATCAAACAAGTTGACAGAAAAAAGTTGATGTTACGCGCTCAAGTGACGGGAAATGTTGAAGGAACAAACTTTTACCTTCGACTTCGTGTGAATTCAATCTTTTGCCACGAGTACAATATCAAGCCTTTTACTGAAAGTTGCAACCCAACATGTCCAGTTCGCGAGGTAACCCGTAAGATTGTTTGATCTTTACAACGCAATTGTGTCGAATGATGCAATTTTCGGAACTTTCGATGCAGCCATTACTTTTCGATATTTTCTCGCATGAAATTCTGTTCATTTTTAATTTTACGAGAATCGATTTTTCGTTGCCCAAACCCTCTACATTTTGTTTGTCTCATCCAATCTTGTCAATTGTCTTGAAAAATTTTCATCCTTTGAAAGTAAACTTTTTTATGCTCTTTTTGAATTATTTAAAACAACTTTAATTTACTCTAAATTAGTGTTCTTTGGATTGTCAATTTAACCTAAATTCTGTTAACGTTTATTCATGATGATATTAATTATCTATTGTTGTTGCTGGCATTTACATTATTTAAATGCATTTTCTCATCTCATAATAAATTCCAAAGTTTGACATGAGAAATGTCAAAATGAACTAAGCTCTTGATGAAAGTTGTTTAAAGATAAAAGTAAAATGTTTCATCACTTTGTTATATTTCATCCTTTCAACTTATAACATCAACTTTACATTTCATTCGTTGATTTATTCACAACAATCCGATAATATCATGGACAGTTTCTTTCTTTTCTCGTCTCTTTACTGCCAAAGAGAACAAAAAAATGTCGAAATTCTCTAGAGATTTTTATCAATCATTTTCCATGTTGAACAAGTTTGGCTCATTGGAGTAGCACAAATGGTGATCATTTTCAACTTGATTGATCTCTTGATTTACTTGACCATTGAAACATGATAATGAATAAATGGTACAGCAATGAATGAGCAAGAAAAGAAAAAAGGAAAAAATTGTTTTTTTCGACAGAGAAGAAAACAAATATTTCTTTTCCATTTCATCCGAATGAATCATTTAAAATGAACAAACTTGAATGTTTCATCAAGTGTAAAACCAAAGTTGCTCCAAATAAAACAATTAATCTTGTTTGAACACTTTATTCAAATCTAACAAAATGCATTTAAATACTAATCTGTTGAACATTTTTTTTCTCTTTTCATTCATATCACATTCTCGATTGAACCTTTTGTTTTGTTCTGTAAATTGTTCATGAAACGTTTCAATAAAAACATTCATGTCTCGCCGTAATCCAAGGCTAGCCATCATGATGTGACAAAATATTCACGAAGTTTCAGTAAACACTTTTGATAGCTTACCAAATTATGATTTAGAGTTCTGTTAAATGAAAGGAATAATTTGAAAGTAAAATGAAACTCAGTCCACAAGAGTTATGATTGAAGAGTCCAAATCAGATGTTCAAACAAAAACACATTCTGCCCAATCAACTGGTCGGTTTCACCTTTTTCAAGACTTGTAAAGTACTTATTGCATCAAGTTGAACTTTGACAGGATTTTGAAAAGTGAAAAATCGAAATTGCATGAAATAATTGGATAAATTCTGTTGCCAGTATTTCAATATTTGTTAAATATTTCAATAACATTTTTTGATGACAAATGCAGTTTCTCTTAAAGAACAGTTTTTGCTTTTTTGGTTCTATCAATGATACGATTTTCCGCATTTTCGTTCGAAAGTTGGGAAATTGGACTGAAATTGAAAAGTCGGACTCATTACCAAAATGCTTCTCTTGTATGGAATGCAAATCATTTGATAATAAGAATGACTCATGATATTTACTTGATTCAATTCATTTATCATACAGACTTATTTCAAGTTTATATCCAATTGTCCAGTTGCAACGCTAAGCCAATGTTTATTTTCAGTTTTACTTTGCATTTTCCCATGAGAAACGATTCACCTTCTCACCTTTTAACCCTGCAAGCTGAGTTATTCACACTGTCAACAGAATAAAATTTTTCCTCTCTTTTCTCTCTTTCTGACACATTTATCTCTTTTCCCTTCATTATAACCATTATCACCCTGAAAACCCTCATGATAAGCAACAGAGTAACCATTTGTCTACTTGTGAACAGCTAACAGTTGAACATCTCAATTATACTTTTGACCATTACTATTCAACTTGTGACATTGTTTTCCTAAGGTTATCAACTTGCTATTAACATAATCAACAGACTTTTCACCCAATTCTGACCAATGGTTAAACAGCAATAACCATGGAAAATATTAATAGAATGTGCATTATGAAGATTAGAGGAAAGAACAAAAGCAAGAGAACAGTTTTCCCTGCTCAGAATAGTCCAGATAAAAGTCAATATATTGAAGAAAAGAAGAAGAAAAAACGAGCGAATTATAAATGGTTTATCAAAACAAATAGAGCTGGGAGTTGAAGTTATCAAATTAATAAGTAGGACATAAATGAGAGTTTTATTGGAATCGAGTTCAACATTTTTCTTTCCTTCTTTTCTTATTCACTGTCAAGAATATTGTCTCAATAAAAATGATAGTATCATTTACTTTCTCCTGATATCATTCATTTTTATTGAAATATTGATATTATTCCAAGTCATTTATGTTCTTTATTCCATCAATTTTATTTTCTGTCAACACTTAGTTTTTTTATTTGAAAGGAAAGAAAAAGATTTTGCCAAAATTTCCAAAATCTTTAGCATCTTGTTATCGACTGACGAAAGTTGAATAGCTGCAGGAATGGAAGGCAAGGGAAGGAGGAAAAAATATCTCAATATTGAATAACTTTTAGATTCCAAGAAGTTTGTTTTTCGTCTCAAATGGTTCAACATTATCAATTGACTAGTAATTGTTAACCTTTTACCTGAAAAAAAACACTTCAACATTTGTTTTGCTTCTTGAATACATCAAATTCACTCCCAACTGGGAGTAATTTTTTGGATTGATTTTGCTGTACAACTTGTTAGTCATTTGTAAAGTTCAACTTTTATCTATCTTTTCATGGATAAATTGGAAACTCATGAACATTTTTTTTAGTTCCATTTTCTTCTTCTTTACTTGCTCATTATCAACCAATTGACTTGACAATTTTTTATTTGCCATTAGAGTTCTTTTTATCGCCAAAGATTGAATATCGTAATTTATGATAATTTATTGAATCTCAGAAAATGATAATTCTTCATAATCTGACTTTTTATCGGAAAATTTGCTCTCATTTCTGTTGCAGAATCAAAAAGCAAATTTAAAATGGCAATCATCATAACATCATGATAATGTTACATGAAAAATGAATTTATTAATTTACTTTCCATATTATTTTCTCGACTCTTTTTCTTGTCTCTTTTATCCCATTCCATGCAAGTCTCTGGGCGAACTTTATTATCAAGTCTTTTCTTTTGCTTTCACTGAATTTGCTTTTTTTGTCTTTAAATTTTTTTCTGTCTGCGCTGTAACCCTTGACCTTTTCATTTATTAAAATGGTTATGTCAACTTGAATTAGAGTGTCGAGTGAAAATGAGAACAAAGTGTTCACTTGGATAAAGGTTTTGATAATTCAATGTTGCTCTTTACACTTGATATTCATTAGCTTTTTTATTTTCAAAAGAAAATATTTGCTTTCATTGAGTTTCTATTTTTACTGGACAAAACCATTTCGCACTCAACTATTGCATTTCCATCAAATGCATTATTTGACTTTACTCTTGAAAAATTACATGAAAAAATATCCAAATAACAATCTGTAAGGGATCGACACTACTTTTTGCCTCTCTTAATTTACAGTTTGTAATTCAATGTCAACCCCCATTAGTTTAATATCACATGTTTAGCTTTTCTTCCTTTTCCTCTTTACTTAATATAAATACTGGTCAATTTGACCAACAGAGGAGATTATGTTTTTCTCTCTCTCTCTTTAAAACTGTGATCAACAAATTGTTAATTGATTGAAGAGGGTATTCTCTCAATACTGTGTTCATCATAATCAACTTAATTTACTTAAAAATAAGTCTAATTACTTATTACCTGTGCTCTTGTGTTAACATTTGATTTACTGGTGACTTAGACACCTCAACTGAAATAAAATAATTTAACCTCAAATTGATTAACAACGTTGATTATACTTAAAGTTATTGAGAAACTGATCTCAGTTGTAAGTCTCTATTCCTCATCCCTGAAGAGACCTTACAAATGGCGAGGATGCTACTCTGAAATCGAACCAGTTAATTGTGTACCATTATCGTGTTTTACTGAAATTGAAGAGAGTTTCTCTCAAAACCTAGTGAAGATTAATCAACAAAATTACTAAACAAAAGCTGAATCTTCACCGTTAAACCTTGAGGAGAGTATTCTCTCATAAATAAAGATTTGTCATTAACACAATCAACTCGTTCGTCAGAATCTTACGGTTAAACCTAACCAACATCAGACCTCGATAACTAGTTCCTGCTTTTTCAAATTTAGTGTCAATATTGTTCTTCAAATCGTCATTTCGTTGAATTGAAGAGCGTATGCTCTCAAATGTGATAAAGCTGATCAACTATAAATCTGGTTCTGTTGTAAATTGGGTTCAACATTAAGTTCTGTTATAACCTTTATTTAACCTTGGCACAACATTGAAAACTAAGCAACTATATTCATTCCTGCTTACATCTTGAAACAATCGAGGCTTTCATCATTGATCAAACTAATTTAGATTCGCTTTGGTCATTTTCTCAGTTTCCTACTCTTGAAGACAGCGTTGAAGATACATCAATAGTATCAATCAAACCAAATATGGCAACTGTAAAAGATTACTTATCATCAGAAACTGTTAAAAGAGAAACAGCACAAGTTCTCGGTCTCAACATGCCACCATCAATGAAGATAAACTATGTAACTGGTCAAGTCAAACA